ACGAAAGAAAAACACATGTTATATATGTGTTATATATATATATATATATATATATATGTATTCACTATATCTCTCTCTCTCTCTCTCCCTTACACACACACTGAGTATAATGATATGTTGATTAATAGCAATGCCTTTTAGTTGGCATACTTGGATCATATGTTTATTTTCCGAGTTTTCAGACATTTCTATTTCGAATTATAATATTCTGCGACTGATTAATTATTATTTGACCTTCTATGGTTTATTGGGGTAGAGGAAGGGGTGCGGGGGTCTGTTTCCCAAATCCACCAATCAGATGATAGATTTTATTTTCCATGCACTGGCCAAGTGTAACAGAGAAAGGCTGATTTACTAAAGAGTTGAGAATGTTCACATAAAGTGAAGATTCACTTAATTATCTACTCGTGTGAAAGTAAACTTCTGTTTATTTTATCTGCATGATGAGATAATTGAAGTGAATCTTCACTCGGTTTTTTTTGTGTGTGTGGAAATTCTCAACTCCTTAAGGAAATGTGTCTTTCTGGGTCAGTGCAGGGGAAACAAACTGTACCATCTTAATGATGGATTTAAGAAACTCCCCCCTCACCCCCACCACCTTTATTTACATCTGATCTAATAAACAACACAAATGTGGACTAACATTATCTAATTGCTGCAGAACTACAACTCCCAGCCTTCGTGGTTATATTACTTTCTACAACGTGCTTCCAATAATGATTTCAGTCAGCTCAGTCTGCCATCATGAGATATTTCAGTATATTTCATAATATTCGTAGAAACCATTATTATTGCAGCCTGCATCTCAGCACCCAGCCTCACACATCTGTACTTTTCTGTTCTGAGCCTTTCCACCATTTACTGGTAATAACACCACCCAGGAAAGCTGCATATTAAGGAGGAAGGCTAATCGTCTAGAGTTTCAAGTGAACACAATGCAAATAAGACATTATTTTTACTACAATTGTGCTGTTATGAGATTTAAAAGTAAAACCAATGCAAAGCAGCTGACTGAAAGCAGTGGGCAGTGATGAGACCTGATATGAGCTGGACAGTGTGGCTGAAAGCAATGATCAGGATCAGTCACTGGAGCTGGAGAGTATATGGCAGAAACAGGGATCAGGAGGATCAGTCACTGGAGCTGGAGAGTATATGGCTGAAAGCAATGATCAGGATCAGTCACTGGAGCTGGAGAGTATATGGCAGAAACAGGGATCAGGAGGATCAGTCACTGGAGCTGGAGAGTATATGGTAGAAACAGGGATCAGGAGGATCAGTCACTGAAGCTGGAGAGTATATGGCAGAAACAGGGATCAGTCATTGATGAGACCTGATATAAGCTGGACAGCGTGGCTGATTATTATAGTGATCAGGATCAGTCATTGATGAGACCTGTTATGATCAGAGCAGTCTGGTGGGGTCATGTCCAGCATTTTCCACTACTGTCATTCCTTCTCTGTGCTCACCCTCCAAAAATCAAAACTGGTTTATCTCGTGCACATTGAGGTACAAGCTGCATTCACCTCCCTCTTCTTTCTCTGGGTTATTGTGCCCATAGTATAGAGGTATAGCTCTATAACAACACAGGCTGCTGACAAGGAACTAGACTACAGAGAGATCACATAGGATTCTCAATAGCTTTTACAATTGCTGATGTAAACCCTTTTTATCAGGTATTTTGTGCTTTGAACTTACTGAACATTTTTTTTTTCTGGAACTGATGCAGACAAATGAAAGACAACCTGGTGCATTCATCCATTGCAGCCAATCAGATGTTTTATACTTTTATCTACACAACAAAGACACAACACACGTCAGATGTGATCTGATTAGTTACTGTCATTGCTGTAAAATTATTATCCATTATATTTTTGGTAACCAATATATATTATGATGTGTCCAATTCTTAGATAAAAGGCAGGTTAGATATGTAATGAGAATACACTGGGGTGACATCCCACATTAAAATCCCAGAATAAAACCCAATAAACCCAATTTCCTCCCCCACCCCCCATTATGGAAACACTACAGCAAGTAGTGGAGTTGTCCACAGAAACCAATCATCAGCACAGAATATGGTTGGTTGATTTGGATACTTTATTGCCATTTTTTGTTTTAGAAATGAGAGCTTAAAATTGCTTTCCATGTCGATCTATAGCTGTCATGATTTAAGGCAACTGTCAAAAAACAGTATTTAGTTTGTGGATTGGTATTCCTATGCTAATTGCTCCTGTCTCTGCCATGAGTTTTCACAGGAGGTTTAATTTATTAAGGTCATAAGCATATAGATCTCAGGTAAGGCAGTTTTAAATATTGCACAATCCTAATTTACTAAAAAAAATTAATAAAGTGAATGTTCGGTATATGGGGATTATCCACACGGAGATTCTGTTTTTTGTTTTGTTTTTTTTTTTTTTTTAG